GAACCTTGTACACCGCTAAGACCAGCCTGTCTCCGGTCCATGGCATCGTTGCATGCCACTGCCTTGGGTTGAACGAAACCATTTCCTTCGACCCCTCCTCAGACTGTAAATGCTTCACACGTCCACGCTTTCCATCCACAATGACCACTTCGTCATCCTCAACAACCTCGTCAACGCCCGCCTGTGTCCAAAGTCCCCCTTGCTGAAAGTCACTGATTGGGATCAAATAGGACAACTCATCTCGAGCATTATGTGAGTCACGATGTCTTTTCACGCTGAGGTTTCGGTGCAGGGAGAACGTAGACCAGGTTGCTGACTCGCCCATTACTCCACGAATGAACTGATTCACCAACCGTGTAGAATAAGGAAATTCCTTCGACGAGTTCCTCACTCCCAACACACCACCATGACGGTAAACTCCAGAGGCCCACGCCTTTGGTGGCAAACTACCTTCACCGCAGTCTTCTGTTTGCCGAGGTAGTCTTTGATTTGGAAGCAAATCAAACAGCCGCTCGATCACCTCCTCATTCACATCGCCCTCATCATATATGATCTCCTTCGCGTAGTCCTCCGGGTCTATGGATTCCATGTGACCACTCTGCGCTTCAGCCCTTCCTTGGTCAAGGGCAGCAACCCGAGGAGATAGACTTGCCTCTTGGACAGCACTCTCCGCCACATCCGCCATATCATCGTCCTGACCAGGCCCATCTTGGTCCTCATGCAGATCATCATCATAGGCGCCGGGCTCTTCTTGATCCTCCGGTAGATCGTCGTCATATACTCCAATATCCACCCTCCGATCCAAGGTTGCCACTCGAGGTGTAGACTTGCCCACAATCCTTCTGCGCGCTCGTGGTAGATCCGGTTCATCTCCCGCTCGTTTCTTCTCATCATCGCGCCCTTCACCTCCTGCATCCACCAACTTCGCTTTGTCCTTCACGTTTTTGGTGTGTGTAAAGATTCCATCCACATAGACGAGATGACCATTGGAAACCTGATCTGAGAGACCCAGGTAGATGCCCTCGGCCCAACGTTCATCAAACTCCAGACGAATCAGGGCTCCGGACGCTGCATACCTCCTTTTCTTCACCAGAACCTTGGCACCAAAACTTGTAACCATCCTCGGGACTTGTTGAAGTACTCGAGCTCGCTGGATCGAAGCTGCAGCCTTTGCCGCAACCGGCCAAAAGGTTCTTTCCAAGGTAGACGAAGACAGGATTTTCCGAGTAGTGAGCTTAACTTCCTTCACAGCGTTCTCTGCAGCACCATTCTCTTGAGGAACACCTGGAGTACTTGTAGACACCCGAATGGCCTGCCCATGTAGCCACTGCGTCAAGGATCTCGTCATCAGCTGGGCCGCTCTGTCTGAATGGAACCTCAGTACCGGGATGTTCAGGCTTTGTAGATATAGCACCACAGATTGTATCGCTGACGCAATCGTAGGTCCCTTGTCATTCAACATCGGCTCTGCGAACAACAAATAGGTAGACTGAGGAGGTTCCACATCGATCGGAATATGGCCCACACCCTTTCCATCGTCGCGCCCATCTTCTGGATCAACGTGCTCTTCATCTGGTGCGTCCTTCTCCTCATCGTCAAATAGTAGATCCCGCTCAGATTCTCCACAAGCACTTACCTTCATGGCCTCGCCCTTTTCCTCCTCAACAAATAAGTCTTCGTGTCCGACTTCTTCGTCACCCGGAGGATCAGTCCCTGTAGGCTCAAATTCACCCGTCACATAGGACTTTGGAAGTGTGAACTTTGCCACCAGCAGGTACTTCATCCGCGCCGCCTTTGTCCGATCACCTCTGGCTGCTGGATCTTCCCCTGTAGTCCTGAACGGTCCCGTCACGTCCACATTCAGGCAAAATAAAGAAGGATGTTCCACTCGCGCATGTCGATGCCCAGTAGCTCCATGGGTAACGCACTGCAAACAGTCCCTTCTTGACGGATAATGACCAGCCTTCACGTGGTCCTTCCACTCTTCAGGGGACATCGCCTTCAGTGACCCATGCTCGCGCTTCTCGGAGCTCTTGAAGTCCTCACAGTCAATCGCCCTGATCAGACTTCTTTTCCATGCGCTTGTCCATTTCCACAGATCACCATCGTTGCTCCCCTCCTCGAAGAAGCACTGGGGATTCAAGTTCTCACCGTTGTAGTTGGTCACAACCGACATCGCCCTTTTCTTTCCTTCGATTCCCGAGACCTTGACGACCTCCATCTCATCCATAGAGGTTGCTCCTCTGAAGTCTGTCATGACCTTGTCTAAGGCTTCCCCTCGTCCCTCCCTTGGAGTAGTCCAACAAAACCCAACTCTTCTTGTAGGTCTCGCCAGTCTCCCAATCACGTAGAGGACGAACGCCCTGGACAGTCTAACCATCTGAGAGTCCTTCATCATGGAACTCCCAGGGGTGGAACCAACAATGGCCGCAATCCTGCCCGTAGCCGCCCCCCACAGTAGCGCTTCATAGGCTTGAGGAAGTAGATCCGGATGAACAATAAGCACCACTGCGTCCTCCTGGTACAGCTCAGGTCTGGGCAGCACTTCATCACGATGGACCGACAAATGGATGATCCACTGCTTCGAATCCAACAATCTCTTTCTCAGCCTTCGCGGAAACGGGAGGGACTTCAAATGTTGCCAACCGCCATCCAATCGCACACCGCAACACAGCGCATCAAGGGTGGTTTCTGGCAATAACTTCATAAAGGATCCCCGCACAGCCTTCCACAGATCCCTGGCGAGACCGCTCTCCAAGTACCTTGAGGCATAAGTGGTCCACGGAAGTCGCTCCTCATGAACCAAGTGCTCCAGCTTCGACTTCAGCAGAGTTACTCCTTCACGAAACTCCTGTAGCTTCTTCTTCTCGATGTCATTCACCAACTTCGCAGCCTGTTCTTGAGCCAGCTCTGGACACCCTCCTCGAAGAGAAGTTCTTAGCTCACCCCACACTGGATGAACGACCTTGAAAACACCACGTTTCCAGCTGATCTCGCATCCCGCACGCACCAACTCGGCCATCGGCAGGATCGGCTGGGTGTCCTTCGAGGTTGACAAGATGGCCCCCGACTCAGTCTGCAGTAGGTTCCTCTTCTCATCATTGGCTAAGGTCACTGACACCTTGGTTGCTGTAGCCAACTCTCCATTGTCGCGAGGATGCCGAAGAATATGTGTGGCGCCAGAGTCGATGAGTGTCGGCACCTCCGCAGGCTCGAGTGAAGCCCGCCCATCCAACGGAGTTCGTTGTGTCATTCTCAAAACACTCACATCTTCTGACACCCTCATCGTCTTCAGTCGCAGCTCATCAAGTTGCCGTTGCAAACCTTCCAAGGTTGACGAAGGAGATGAAGCCGTGGTGGATCCCGAACTCATCAGCGACCTCAAAGCTTGCGCTGCATCTCTCAGCGCATCCTTGACCTCCCCGGACTGGGCGCCCTGTTGACCACCCTCTTGACTCACCGGAGACGTAGGAGCACCCTTTCCTCCATCATCCTTTGCTGTAGGTGTCGTCGGGGCACTCTTCGTCTTGCCCTTCCCTTTCGGCTTGAGAGGTGGGCTATCGCCGGCCTCATTCTTCGTGGGACATCCACTTGCCAAGTGCCCTTCTGCCCCGCAAACATAGCATCTCCCTTTCTTTGACACCCCATCGAAGGAGTGAACAAACTTACAGCTCGCACCCCTTCTGCATCCTCCTGGCTCCGTAAACCATTTGCACCTTTTCTCATTTCCACTTCCACCCGCTGGTGTACTTGTAGAGGTAGTCGCAGGTCCCGTTGCCGTGGATGTTCTGGTCGGTGCTGGGCCACTTGGCTGAAAGGGTCGAATCTTGGGTTCCTTTAGCGGGTCGGTTGTTCCAGACTTAACGCTCGTTGGAAGGCCATTTGCAAGACTCTCAGACTCTGCACGAAGGTGCTGGTGAAGTTGCAACGTAGACTCCCATGTAGGACTTGTATCCACTCCCAGCCGACTTTTCACAAGCTGAGTTCTGAACATAACGTCTCTGTCCTTTGCCCACAGCTCGGAGATCACGTTGTTCAGGCCTCGAACCAACAGCGATGGATCAGGTTTCGCAATACTCAGGTTGTCTGCCCTCAAAAGCAATCTTTCCCACTGACGAAGGATAGTCACCAAGTCAGTAGCCGTAGAAGCCTTCGGCGGGGACACCAAATACTGCAAGATGTACGCCTTCTCACTTTCGCCGCCCGGCTGGTACATGGTGTATAGTCTGAACAGCAGAGCCACTGGCGACCTCGTGATTGCCCTTGCGACCATCTCTGCTCGAACTACTTCTGCCATGGCCTGAAGCATCATGCCCGCAGTGCGGGCACTCAAACGAGAATACTTTCCTTTCTCCAAGTCATCTGCTGTCGGAGGCTTCAAAGCGAGCCTCTCATAAGGCCCAGCCGCCACCCACATCTTGTAGCTTTGCTGAGCTCGGTCCTTCACCGCATCCCACCACCACGAGCTGCTGTCTGAGATGTCCCTCAGCGGCCCGTCGATGACCTCAATCCAGTCCGAAGCGCAACGGCACTCTCGTTACCGTTGGGGGAGGGTAGCATTGGTAGCGTCGTAGTACCCGGCTTACACTGTTCTGGCGGTTCTTCAAGCTTTCTCTTCTCGGCCTTCTCGAAGTGCTCCAGCTGTGCACGCTGAAGCTGCTGAACACCTTCGGCTAAAGTCTCCAGCAGACGTTCACTGGTAGTCCTTGAAGTGGCGAACTGAGCACCTCGTTGACCTTGAAGTTCTGGATCCCCAGGTAGAGGCGCCGATTCACTGCGTGGAGCCGCCATCACCTGAGTCTCGCACTGAGTTGCGCTGATGTCCGGTCCATACACCGTGGGAGGCCCTGCAGGTAGCTTCATTGAGTCAGATCTCCCCAGACCCACATCTTCGACTCTTGGCTTCACGTTTCTTCCTTCTAGGAACGAGTCAAAGGTTGCACGATTCCCACCATGAGCTCTTTGAACTTCACATGGACTCTGAACCCCGTCTTGTACGCCTAGTCGCTGTTGAGGTAGTCCATGAAGATCACCTCGGTGCTGGACGCCCTCGTGCCCTCCAAGCTGTTGACGAGAAAGTCCGCGAAGATCACCCTGGTACTGTGCGCCTTCGTGCCCTCCACGCTGTTGATGAGGAAGTCCGCGGAGATCACCTTGGTGTTGAGCGCCTTCGTGCCCTCCACGCTGTTG